GCCCCATCTGTGCACTCTGCATCTAACAGCCTGCACCTGGGGCTCACTTCCCAGGGCTGCTCTTGGACTACCAGAGCCATTTTGTCCTCAAGCCCAGAGAACTGAAGTGTCAGGGAGTTTATACCCTCTCCCTTCTTAGTTGACACCTAATTTGGCAGGGTGAAAGCCCAGCTCCCTTCCCCATTTCGGGACAAACTCGGAAGCAATTCCTCCAACAGAGCTCCACTGAAGGGTCAGGCTGAGGCTGACACCCTCACTCTTCTCTCAGCCTCTTCTCTCCCTGTACAGCTCTCTCATTCTCTTGTCAGTTTCTCCTGGGAACATTTCCTTATTAATCCTTGATCTATTTCTGGGGAACCTGACATTATCACACATTTTCATGGGCAGAGCAAAGCAATAATAATAATAGTGCAAGAGCTTTGTTCATCTGCGGTGCTATGTTACCGAAGAGTAAAGAGATTTGCACCTGAAATAAATTCACATAAAGACACAGATTCACAGCACCTAAGAGTCACTGAATCTCTGTGGCTGGTGGATGAGATGTTCTTGTCAGGGATCTCATCTTATTTAAAACTCCACTTTCAAAGTGGTCCTGAAGAGACATCTGTGTGTCCTGAGTTTGGTAATCCCAGCAAATGGGGGTGGTCATAAGACATGGTGTGTTGGAGATGAAATCTGCAGGTTGATCCAGGAGAGAAACTGCAGAGAAGGAACAGTGCTCAAAGCCAGCGTTCAATGTTGGTTACACGAACAAAGGGATGTAGCCATGAAGCAGGGTATTACCTCATTCCTTCACCGAATGCCCAGGCCCAGAGATGTGATGAGTGGCAAATGGCCTTTCTCTCCTCTGTAGCCTGCACTGCCCTTCCTTATTCCTTCCATCTTCCTAGTTCCTTCCTTCCCTCCTGAGCAAGCGTGAATGCCTATGTGTCAAACATCAGTGAGGCCCAGTGGATAAAACATCAGTGAGGCCCAGTGGATATGAAGACCTTGTTCACCGGGGTCTATGGTCCAGGTTGGACCAGCAAGAATGTGCAATGGTGTTTTATCCATGGTGCTTCCAATATCTCTACAAATTATAAGGAGACTACTGGCTATATATAGAAAGTTAAAAATGTTCTTCTGGAGAACTGGATGTTCGAGGTGAGATTTGAAAAATTCCAGGGGGAGAGAGGTTGCAGGCAGGAAGAGAGGGGCATTTCCAATAGGAACAACAGCCAGCAACAGGAAGCTGCAGGAGCTGTCCAGAGAGTGACTCGCTGTGGCCACAGTGAACACCTGCTGGGGAGAGAACATGGGAAGAAAGGTATCAGTTAAGACCGGAGCAAGGCCAGGAGTGGTGACTCACATCTGTAACCCCAACACTTTGGGATGCCGAGGCAGGAGGACTGCTTGAGCTCAGGAGTTCAAGACCAGCCTGGGTAACATAGCAAGACTCAGACTCTACAAAAGGTAAAAATAAAAATAATTATCTGGGCGGGGGCACATGCTTGTATTCCCAGCTACTCGGGTGGCTGAAGCAGGAGGAATGCTTGAACCCAGGAGCTCTAGGCTACCACGAGCCATGATCATGCCACCGTACTCCATCTGGGGTGACAGAGCAAGACCCTGTCTCTATTGAAAACAAAGAAGAAAAAAAGAAAAAAGATTGGAAAAGGAAACTACAGAGGAAACACCGTAACATCCCGCCATGCATGGTAAGGAGTTTGAACTTTATCCTGTGGGCAGGGAGGAGGGATGGATGGGAATGTCCTTCAAATAGCTCCAAGGTCACTCATCCGGCTCCTCACCCCTCAGGCCCCAAACCCAGAAGTGGTGGGTGCCCAGGGGACTGCATTACCTTTCCTGGGACTCCCTATTCTTGCGCCTCACCAATGACACCAGGGGAAGAGTCTGTGAATTTAAACTAGCATTCAGCTCTGCTGCAGGGCCTTGAAGTCAACTTAATGAATAGGAACGCGATAACCTGTTCTCCATAAAAGGAGGAATTAAGAACTCATTTATATCAGTGACAGGGTGGAAAGAAAACAGCAATCTCACTCCGGCCAGATAACGGAGATACCAACCCCTGCTTTGTGGATTCTTAATTAGATCTCCTCGGTCCTCTTGTTTTTATTTTATGTTTGCCTTTTTAAAAAATTAAGGGAGAACAGCCATAATCTTCCACGATGGGAGTGCATATTTTACGGACAGAACACGGGTGATGAGACTGCGCTCTAACAACTCACAGAGAGGTGAGTAGGGAGGGGAAGGTGGAATTTGTTACACCAACAGCACATGAATAATCACTTCTCGTAATGAACTCTCATTCTAAAAGCACCACAAGCTACCTGAGGAGGAGGAGGGCCTGCTGCAGGAATCTGAACCAGGGTTTCCAGGGTGAGGTGGGGAACAAAGGCAGGAAGAACCAGAACCACAATAAACAGTCATGAGAAGAGAGTCCATGGGAGTCATTTTTACATTTCATGGCTTTTTTTTGCTGCCTTTCAGAGCAAAAGTGTGACCAACTCAGGAAATTCTGGAGTGAGACACTGTGGTGTTATGATCCGATGAATGGATGGATGGATGGATAGCTAGATAGATAGATAGATAGATAGATAGATAGATAGACAGATAGATAGATATAGAATTAATAGGTAGATCGGTAGGTAGGTAAGTAGGTAGGCAGGTAGGTAGATAGGTAGGTAGGTAGGTAGGCAGGGAGGCAGGTAGGTAGGTAGGCAGGCAGGCAGGTAGGTAGTTAGGTGGTAGGTATGCAGGCAGGTAGGCAGGCAGGCAAACAGGCAGGTAGGTAGGTAGGTAGGCAGGCAGGCAGGCAGGCAGGCAGGCAGGTAGGTAGGTAGGCAGGCAGGCAGGTAGGCAGGCAGGCAGGTAGGTAGGCAGGCAGGTAGGCAGGTAGGTAGGTAGGTAGGCAGGTAGGTAGGTAGGTGGTAGGTAGGTAGGCAGGTAGGTAGGTAGGTAGGCAAGTAGGCAGGTAGGCAGGTAGGTAGGCAGGTAGGTAGGCAGGGAGGTAGGCAGGTAGGTAGGTAGGTAGGTGGTAGGTAGGCAGGCAGGTAGGTAGGTGGTAGGTAGGCAGGCAGGTAGGCAGGTAGGTAGGCAGGTAGATTTAGGTTTTCATTCGCAGTTTCCGGCTCATAACCCCCATGGCCCGGTTACAGTCTTTTGCTGTAATGGTTGTGTTAGGCCTCAGGAAACAGAATCTCTTGACCTTTCCTATCCTCCTTTCACCTCTCCCAGGCAGGACCCTAATCTTCCCTTTCTGATTGTGGGTCTTAAGACCCTCCCCAGAGAAGGCCCTGTCTTATATCCTGGGGAAAGGAATGCTGACACCATCAAAATTCCATAGAAACCCAGGAGGACTGAGTTAGGAGTTTCCAAATGGCTGAACACGTGGAGGTTCTTGGAGGGTGGCACCCAGGAAAGGCAGGGAAGCTCTGCACCCCCCTCCCATGCCTCACCCCATGTACCTCTTCATCCGTATTTCTCAGAATATCCTTTATAATAAACAGATAAGTGTTTCTCTGAGTTCTCTGAGCCTCTCCATCAAATTTATTGAACCCAAAGAGGGAGTCCTCTGCACCCCAACTTGAAACTGGTTGGTCAGAAATTCTGGAGGTCCTGACTTACAAGTGGTGTCTTGGGGTAAGAGGGCATTCTTGGGACTGAGCCCCCAAACTGTGGGATCTGACACTCTCTCCAGGTAGACAGTGTTGGAGTGGAATTGGAGGACACCCAGCTGGTGTCTGCCACTTGGTGTGTATAGGAAAACCCCACACCTTTGATCACGGACATCTTCTGTGTTGATGATTGTTGCTGTATTGGTGTGAAAGTAGAGGAGAAACTCAGTTTGAGAGGTTCTTCCAAAACAGGGACCCAAAAGGGAAAAACACGGAAGAGGCAAGTGCCATGCCTGGGACAGATGTCAGCACCAAGAGGCTTGGATCTGAGTCTAGATCTGCTGTTGACCGGCTTGTGACACTGAGCAAGTTAGTTTCTCCCTTGGAGATTTGGTTTATTCACCAGTAAAATACAACAAAATTAGATCCAGTGACCCCCAGGCCCCACCCAGATCCCTCAGGCTTTGAGAGTGAGAGAAGAAGTTAACACCCCAGGCACAGTGGCTCACGCCTGTAATCCCAGCACTTTGGGAGGCCAAGGCGGATGGATCACCTGAAGTCAGGAGTTTGAGACCAGCCTGGCCAACATGGTGAAAACCCCGTTCCTACTAAAAATACAAGAACTAGCCGGGCGTGGTGGTGCATGCCTGTAGTCCCAGCAACTTGGGAGGCTAAGGTAGGAGTATTGCATGAACCCAGGAGGCGGAGGTTGCCGTGAGCCACACCACTGCACTCCAGCCTGGATGACAGAGCGAGACTTGGTCTAAAAAGAAAAAGGTTATCACTCCGAGTCAACCTAGAGGCAAGGAGGGAGGCCTAGCCCAGAGGGAAAGAGCGTTACCCCTGGAGAGCTCCACTGGCTTCAGGTGACATCAGAGTAAAGTCAAGAGATTTCACCTCAAAGACATATAAGCCAGCCTGGACCAGAGGTCTATAAATCCCTCCCAGGAGAAATCTAACACTCTGGAGTTGGTTTTGAGCCAGGGAAACTCTAAATAGCAGTTTCAGCTGAGCTCAGAAAACAAGCCTGGCTGCTCTTCCTCCTCAGTCCACCCGAGATGAGCACTCACACCTTCTCTCTTGGGCAGCTCCACTCTCTCTGCTCACTGCTCTCCACCGGTTTCCATGTGCCTCTTCTCCATCTCCATGGGTGTGTGGCTGTGCCAGGGCCACTTGGAGCCAGAGTCCAGCCCAGGCAGCAGACACCACGGATATAAGGCCTGGGTGACCAGGCGAGGGTCCAGCACACAGATGTCAGGATCTGTGGGATTCAGCAAATAGAAAACAAATAGGTCAGAAACAGAGGGACCAAAATCAGCTTGTCAAATCAGAGATGTAAGCTTCCAGATGTTTCCAGAAGAAAATAGCAAACTGCAGCTGGTGGGCCAAATCCAGTCCATTGCACACTTTGCAAATAGAATTTTATTGGAAAACAGTCACACCCATACATTCGTGTATTGTCTGTGGCTGCTTTTGTGCTAAAACAGCCGAACAGAGTAGCTGCAACAGGGACCATAAGGCTCATAAAGCCCAAATGATTTACTGCCTGGCCCTTTACAGCAAAGCTTGCCGACTGGTGGTTTGAGTGTAATCCAGCATGTGTAAGTAGCTGACCTGCTTTATATAGAGTGGTGGATTCTCCCCGTCTCCCTCCTTCACCCCCAGGCAGAGCTTCCTTCAGGAGGCTGGCACCCTGCTCACGGCAAGTCCAGGCAAAGCAGCAGTCCCAGGTCTCCTTCCTACTCCCACCCTGTCTCCAGGACTGGAGAGAATGTCCTGCTTCCTCCCAGATCCACTGGAGGCCAGGAAAGTGATGGCAAAGGAGAAAGCCACAGGCCTCTGCAGGAGGAAGGATCCCTGGTGCAGCTCTCCCCTGCTCTGTGGATAGGGCTGTAGCTCCCCCGCTGTGGAAGAATTGACAGCTTTCCTTTTCTCCATCACTCCCATTGTGCCTGCTATTACCCGGGCCTGGCCAGAAGAGTACTTCCATGTCCATGGAGCCTCATATTAGAAGTCACCACAGTCTCAGGCATGACCCTTCCCCAAGACAGGACTTTGTTAACCCATCGTCTTATTTGATCAACATAGGGACTTGAATGATTAAAGAAGCCACATTTATCACGTCCTTGCTGAATGGCTGCTGAGCACGTACCATGTATGGCTGCTGTGCTCAGCTCTAGGGAAAGAAAGAGGTAAGACTTAGGCTCTGCCTCCGGGCCTGCTGCTCACAGTCCACCATCCTGCAGCCTACTCAGATGTCCTGCCAATCCTCTGCAAGCCAGAGTGCCGGAAATCCCTGATCCCAGGACCATGCGATTTATTTAGGATTTTAATGTATAACTGTTGTAACTGATTATTTGTAAATTATAACTCTCCAATTGCCAAAAGACTTAAAAATGGATAGCAAATCTGTTAAGAAAGTACATATATCTATTTATATATTTGCCTGTTTTTAAAAGGAGTAGATACAGAATCAGCTGCATTGGTACAAATGTGTGTGAAGGTAGCCTCAGGTTTTGGGACATCCTCAGAGAAGATTTGTGGGGAGGAACCCCCATGAATGCTGCAGAGGCTGCGATGCGGCTCACGGGCCTGAATATTCCTGTCCATGAATGAGTCTGCTCACCTCGCCGGCTCCCATGCTGGCAGAGTGAGGGGCATAAGCCTCAATGGAGTAAGCGTTAGCGCAGGCACACAGCAGAGGGGAAAGGGGAGAGATTGCTATGTGTTCGGCGGTGGAGATGCGGTCAGGATGCGGAGGCTGTTGTCCAGCCTGAGCTATGAATGTTGACTTTTTTTTTTTGCAGAAGTAAAAACCTGACGACAGCCTTCTGATCCTCTCCAGAAAGGTACAGGAGGTGAGATCTGGATATCCGGAGATTCATCCAGGGAGTGAAGATGAGCCCAGCAAGGTGTGAGAAATTTCTCTCGCTTAGGGAGCTCTGCTTTCTGGCCCAGCCCTGATTGTAACTTATGGAATTTTTCTTTCATAAGAAGAGAAGTCACTGAACTGAAATGTCTGTTTTTGCTTGCAAATCTCTGTGAGAATTCTCCAAGGTCTCTTTCCCTTTCTTTGCCCTCTGGGAGCGCGGATCAAGTTCACTCTAGAAGAATCTCTTTGAAACCCTCCCTTGAGCAGGTTGACCAGTTGCTTCAATAGAAATATACCAATAGCAGCAAAACACAATATTTGGATTGGATCTGATGTGATTATTTATTCCAGGAACAAGTCGTGTTTATGATTCCAATCATTTGAATAATGGATTGACATCATTTCTAGCTAAATGGAGATTATCTGGCCATTTGCCAAAGCTAAGCCTCAGCTCCGGGGAGGAACACCTGGACCCGGCTGTAGGTGCATGAGCTTCCAGATGGAAACAGACTCTCTGTGTCTGCACAAGACAAACTCTCTTTACCCCTGCTTTTCCTCTGCCCTCATACCAGAAGAACAATCATCACTGCACAGGAACATTTCTGTGACCCCAACTTGAAGCTGGCCGACCTGCTTCAAGTTGGGGTTCCTGTGGGGATCGCTCCCATGTGAGGCCCCTAGGAAATGGGCCTCGCAATACGGTGAGCTTGAGCCCGGACACAGATCCCCGGTTGGGGGAGTCGAGCTGAGGGAAAGCAGGAACCAAGAGAGGGACTATGTTATTCTAAATAATTAACAGACATTACTTTATGGATATGAGGACTTGGGAGGCAATGTGTCCACTTTTGGCTTCTTATGGTTTATTGCTTGATTGTGTTCATTTTGGACCCTTGTTACCTTCATTGTAAAATATTAACTTAAGTATTTACACTTGGTAACTTACTTATTGTAACTTACTGGGTGTAACTGTAACTTACTTACCATAACTTACTGGGCGTGACTGTAACTTACTTACCTTCACTTATTGGGCGTAACCTACTTACTGGAAGTAACCTACTTACTGGGCGTAACCTACTTACTGGACTTAACTTACTTAGTGGGCGTAACTTGCTTACTGTAACTTAAGTACATTGATCTGGCGTAAACAACTTTGACTTCAGAAAAGTATATAATGAAACGTATTGCAAAAATAAAATTGCTGCTTGGACACAGCCTAAGCCAGCCCTCCAGACTCTGCTTTCCTTTATTCTTTCACTTCCGCGCACTCTCTCCCTCAGGTTGAACGAGACATCTATGTTGGCGGTCTAGGGGACTCCTGCAGGTCGGTAGTCCCCCGGCAGATGTGCCAGACCCCAACAGCTTCCCACGACTCCCTCTTTGGTTTTGATTCATTTGCTGGAGTGGCTCACAGAACTCAGGGAAACACTTATATTTACCAGTTTATTATAAAGGTTATCACAAAGGATACTGATGGAGACACACATGGAGTGAGGTGTGGGGAAGAGGGTGTGGAGCCTCCCTGCCCTTCCAGGAACCTCATGCCTCTCCTAACTCAATCCTCTTGGGTTTTTATGAAAGCTTCCCATTGTCAGTGTTCCTTTCCTCAGAATGTATAGGATGGAGCCCTCTCAGGGGAGGATCTTAAGACCCACAATCAGAAAGGCAGGTAAGAGTGAATTCTGCCTTGGGGCAGGTGAAAGGAGGGCAGGAGAGAGGTTCTGTTTCCTGAGGCTTAACATAGCTGCCAAGAGACGTGGGAGTTATGGATCAGGAACAGTGGGTGAAAACCCCATGTAGATAGAGGTTAGATAGAGGATGCAGATGCAGACGCAGACGCAGGTGCAGATATTATAGCATCACAGGCTCAAAGAGTTCCTGTGCACTCTCAACCAGAGGGTCCCCTCCTGACTCCCTCATTCCTCCACACTTTGCCTGGCTTGGGACTCAAGCCTTCATTCACAGCTGAGGCCTTGGCTCCTCTCTGAGCTCTTCCTGGCCTCTCACAGACAAAGGGCTGGGCACACTCTTCCGGACTGGACTGGCCCTTGTCCAAGTCCCCATTAGAGCCTGTCTCACCAGACCAAGTGCCCCAAGGATGCTGGGTCACATCTGTCTTCACGTCTGCAACGGGGATATTAGTCAATCAGAAACAAAAGATTTGAGCCCCAGCTGGCAGATGCCTCTTGCATCTGTGATCACAGGGCTGGGGTTCCTTGCAGGGAAGCCTCCTGGAGCAGGATGGCTGGCAGATCCCTGGGGATGCATCCCAGGCAGAGCCCAGTAGGGTACACAAGACAGAATCAGGGAAGGCTACAGTGTGGGAATGGCTTTCCCCTAGGCATGCACCCTCTTCTATCCTCTCCGCCATTCCATATCATTGCACCTTATCTCTCTGCACCCCAGATCCCAACAGAGTAAGAATCTGCACCTGAGACCTGGAGCTACTGCTTCCAGATCCCAACAGAAGGACTAACTCAGAATCTCAACAACTGTCAGAGCCAGAAGGGCCTGAAAGATCACCTGGTCTGGGGCTTCCTGCTGTGCTCGGCAGGGTGAGGTGGGATGGGACCCTCGGGGTGGGGTGGAGGCGCCCCTTGAGTCACCTGGTATGTACTTTTGAGGGAGGTTCTCAATCCAAGGTCTCTGGGCCACTTCAACCTCTCCCCTTTTCAGAGCAGTTTTACTTTTGATTTGATCTGTAATAGCTATAAAGTTGCCTTCTACACGAAACATCTTTTTAAAAAGTTGTTAGAGATAAATAAAACAAGATGAAAAACCTTGGGGACTAGAATAAGGCAGTGATTTGTCCAAGGTCATAGGATGAGTAAACATCACATCCAGGACTAAACTTAGTAATTTCAGCCCCCCGGACCCTGCCCTGTCCCATCATCCACTCTCTGGTAGCAAAAACACACTATTTCCAAACCCATTCACACTTCCCAACTCTGGTCAAAGCTCAGCTTCTAAGAAAACACCCAGAGGCATAAGCAGATGGTGACACTTGTCTCCATGTTTAAGTGGAGCTGACTCTACAGATGAGTCCTCTGCATCCAAACACGTGACCACTTAGCCACACTGCTGCTCAAGACCCGAGACATTCTCAACTGTGTGGCCAGAGGGAGAACGAGCCAGTGATCTGGATGGGCCCATCTGGAGTGACGAAGGGGAAGGCAGTTACCTGGGGAGTCAAGGCCCTGAACATCACTTGGCTCCCATCTACCCCTGGCCATCACCTTCTGGTGGGACACAGAGCCCCCAGTGCCATGGTCCAGTGGGAAATCCATCAGAGCTGTACAGGCAGAGCTGGGCTGATGGCCAGGGTGTGGCTCCCACTCTCCTAGAAGGGGCCCAGTGTCTGTGCAGTGGGACAGCAGAAGGAGCTCCTGCTGGTATAAACATCCAAGGATTACGAAAGGAGAGAGCAGGAAGGGAAGGGAAACTCAAATCAAATGCAGCCTGAAACCTGGCATCTAGTGACCATGGTGTTATGATTCCATAGAACTTGACTAGCAGCTGCAGGAGCCAGCTGTCCCCAGGAACACAGTCAATGGGGTTTCAGACTTCTAACCAAGACCAATACATCCTGTGAATAGATGAGCCAGGCCCAACATTATGATGCAGATAGTAATCTTATCTTTACAGATAGAGAAACTGAGGCCTAAAAATGTGGGCAGAGTCACACAGATAGAGCAAACCCAGCTGATGGTCCTTGGGAATGTAGAGAGACAGAGCAGAGAACCTGCCACCATGTCACCATCTATTCAATAAAGGGGAACCTTCTGGTGATAAGGATTGGGAACAGGAGGCTGTTGGGTCAGAATTTTGAGCCCGGGAACTGTGATAGGTACTAGATTGGAAACAGTCCCATCCTGCAAAATGGCTTTCAACACAGATTCACTTCCATAGAGTTCCTGGTCACCCACTGTCGATGCCAGGCACTCCTAGAAATCAGCTGCAAGGGGCTGAGCCCATCTGCCATGGTCCATGCATTCACAGAGGAAAGTCTGGAAGCCTGTCCTGTGCCTCACACCAGCGACACTTGTGGAACAGACCTCCAGCCCCCGTGTCACTCATGCCCAGAGTCTCAACTGTGTATCATGATTTGACTCCCACATCTCAATTCCCCCTGAATCCTCTTGCACCCAGACTCCTCTGAGCTTAGTTTGCCTGTACATCCCTCTGTGACTCACTAGACCTGAGTCTCTGCCCCACTTCCCTGGGCCACCCTGACCAGCAGCTGATGGCGAACATGCAGCCTGGCCCAGACCCGCCCAGCTTGCTCCCTATAGGAAGTGCTTTTTGATGTTAGCTACAGCAGGACCTACACCCCATCCACGTGGGGCTGGCTGATAAAGAAAGGTTGTCAAATGGCCAATCTACTCAGACCCCAGGAGGGACTGAGCTGTTAATATCACTGACCAGTTGTATTCATTCAATCATTCATTCATTCATTCAGCAACAAATATTGGTTAAAGGATCACTATGAGCCAGGCACTGTTCTAGGTGCTTATACATCTCCGAGTAAAATAAACAAAGATCTCTGCCATGCAGAGTTTCAACCTAGGGAAAAGAGAAAAGGAAACAATAAACATAATAAATACACACTAACATGAGTAAACAGTGATAAGTACTGTTGAAAAAAAGAAAAAGTAATGCAGGATAAGGAGCATAGGGGGCGCTATGAATGGGGTGGTCAGGGCAGAGCTCATGAACAGGGAATTGAGTAAACATCTGAAGAAGGTGAGGGCGAGTCCAAGGTACCTGCAGAAAAGTGTTCCAGGCAGGGGGAGCCCGAGGAGCAGAGGCCCTCAGCCTGTTTGCAGAGGATGGGCGGTCAGTGTGGTGGTGTGAGCACGGGCGGCAAGGCAGGAGTGAGGGTAACCAAGAGCCAGCTTTCCATGTAAGACCCAGTAACCTACAGCTCATATTCCATTCTTTTACCCTGGGGCCATCGGAGCCATCAGAAGGTTTTGACCCGTGAAGTGACAGGACATAAAAGTCATTGCCCTATAGGGTGCAAGGGTGAATAATGACGGTGGCCTGGGCCAGGCAGGGAGCAGTGGAAATGCTGAGAAATTGATTAGCATGTGGACTTATTTTGAAGGTACAGCCAGTAGAATTCCCTAGTAGATTGATATATTAAAGAAGAGGAGGAGTCAATGGTAACTTTCAGATTTTTGGCCTGTAAAATCAAATAATTCCAACTTAAAGCCATTGGAAGTTATTTGAGCCTTGAACCCCGCAGCATGAAGCTGCAACTTCTACTTTTTCTTGTAAATGATTAGAGAAGATCTTGCGGCACCAGAGATGAGATCCCCTCAGATCATCACCGCTCCTCACAGAATGTTAAAGCAACCTTCCTCGGAATGTGGCAGGCTGTAACCGATCAAAGTGCTATGACATTGTACTGATCTTGCCTGGAAGCTGTTGCAACCTTGTTCAACCTCTCTGTCCCTGCCTGTGTAAGTGAAACCGTAACTTTGCTTTGGAATGCTGACCCATTCCCTTGGAGTCTGTGTGTCCCATATGACTATCCTTAAGATTTGTGCTCTAATAAACTCTATAGTTCATCCTATTTTCTGAATCTCATTATTTAAGGTTGACAGGCCAGAGAGATGGGAAAGGCGGCCAGTAGCACAAGATTGAAATGTAAAGACGATAGTGAAACTTTGTTCACGTGGCGTTTGCCACATTTGTTGACTACTGAAGAAAAACGTAAGAAGGCGATGAATATATGAGTGTGGGGTCTCACAAAGGGTGTGAGGCCTGGAGATGGAGGTTGAGAGTCATCGATGTACAGACAGTCGTTAAAGCCACTCAATGCATAAGACCATTCAGCAATAAGTGAGTGTATTGGCTCAGAGGAGAGGTCTACAAACTGCACCCTAGCAAAGGAGCCCTTGAGGGAGAGAGGAGTGAGCTAAGAGGAGGAGCCAAAGAGCGTCCTGGAAGCTAACTGGAAAGAAAAAAACTGCATCCTGGAGGAGACCATCGGCTGGGTCAAATGCTGCCGACAGGTGCCGGAAACTGAGAACTGACCCCTGATTTAACTATGCAGAGGCCACTGGTGACATGAAGAGCCATTTCAGCGGAACTGTGGAGGCGCGTGCCCCTGCCTGGGGAGGGCTCCAGTGGAAGGAAAGAAGATCTGCCGCAAAGAGAGGCAAACATTAGGAGGCAACTCTAGTAGAAGTGGGATCAAGACACATTTGTTTTTATTGTCCTTTTTATCTTTTTTTTCATTTTTTAATTTTTTATGATTATTTTTGTCAATCCTACTCCTTCTCTGCTTTTTTATTAAAAAATGAGAAAAATAACAGCATGTTTGTTCCCAATTGAAATAATCTGGGGTAATCGTTTATGAGAGAGAGAGGGGAGCATTTCTGGAGCCCTGAGAGGGGTTCCTCACCACATGAGCATGGGTGTGCACAGGTGTGGGGACAGCTACTCCATGGTGACAGGCTGGAGGCCGCGAGGGACAGAAGTGGTGGCTGGAAGAGTCTTTGGAAGTTTCCTTCTAGTTGCTTCAATTTTCCCAGTGAAATAGGATGTGAGAGAAGTTTGGCCATGAGAGGAGAGAGGAAAACGTTCTTAGATATGTAGAAAAGCAGGAAAGTGCCTGGATCAGGCAAAGGCAGCATGATTGCCTGGAGATGGTGCATTGAAGTCCGGAGGTTGTGAATGTCAAACAGGACCAGTCCTCGTGGTGTGTGTTTCTCTCCCACATGGAGAAAAGGGCAGGAGCTTTTCACTGCTTGGGGCAGGGGCACCTGAGACTAGATTTCCTGAGACTCCTTGGGCCTTTGGATGTCAAACTTTTCATTGCTACCGCCAGGCATTTTAGGGGCCAAAAATAAAACAATAAAAATAACCGATGCTGTCACCTTGGACCTGACTAGCTTCTGAAATCCCTGTTAGTCATTCTCCTGGGTTGAAGCACTGGAAAGCAGTAGGCTTACAATGGAAGAAGCTGTATTTGCATTCTTAGGCATAGCACCATGAGAAAAGGGGCCCTCTATTAGCATGACTCCACAGAAATGACTTCTAGGGAATGCCTGTGGAAGCAAAATTTGGCAGGGCTCTTTGATCTGTATGTCAGCTGGGAGTAACTGGCTCATGCCCAACCAGGAGCCCAAATCCCCGACTCTGGATGGAGTGCCTCTCTGCCAGTGAAGGGCAGCTGGTTTCCCTGCCTTTACAGTTGGCTTCCAGGCAAATTTCCTCCCAGCTGTCTTCTCCCACAAATGTCAATTTGTGTAATTGACATGAGTCATTTAGGTTATTTCTGCCTCTGATCTGAGAGGGCCTCTGTGGTCATCTGAGTTACATAGCTCCAAATTCCAGAAATAGAACCTCTCCTGTTAGACTTCTGTTCCTGTGCCCAGTGGGTCGTGATCAGGTGCAGGTGCCGGGCACTGTGACAGTGGCATGAGGGGGGCAGGCAGCAATAGTGAGAGAACTCTATTATCTTCATTGTTCAGCTGTTTACCTGCAAACTCATTGCCTTGGTGTGAGATTTCAAATCAGTATCATGAAAAATAACACAAATTGACTTAAGACCTTAAAATACAAAACACAAAGAGAAAAGTACTCACCAAAATATTGTTTTAATGATAATTAGAGTTTCCTGATGTGCGACTTGTTTCTTTGCCTTTTCTAATGTCCGTTTGGCTAGAAGTGAAGAAAGGCCCAGAAGCAGCGACCCCTTAATTCTCTATCTCCACCGAAATGCGATAACTCTGTGTTTTTGTTTAGGAAGCATTTCTAGGAACATTTATCAGCAATTAGGAAGGAAGCAGCCCCCGGAACCCTGACGTCAGGACTCGGGGAAAATATCCTCAGGTCTGGATGAGAGCAGGCACCTGCAACCATGTGAGCTGGGCAGGGTGTGCTGACAGCAAATCTAAGCAGACCCTGTTCCTGAACCTCACTTTCCATCAACACAAAGGAATGACAGAAAAGCCATTGCCAGCTTTCCGAATTACTGAAAACAAGGCAATATCGAAATATTAACTACGTCACAGTGAAGAAAACAGTTGTATGGAAGGCTCTCCGCCTGTATCTACCTACATTCAAAAGTCGTTTCTTTCACCTCTCCCCATCACCCTGGAGTTCTAACGTTAAAGATGACTGGTCCATGGTAACGATCTATGAAAGGGTTAAAGCCTTATTTGTTTCAGTTTCTTTTCCTAAATAGAAAAGGCAATAAACATCACCAGGAATGTATCCTGAGCATACATTCTCTCTAATGCATTAACAAAAGCAATCAATATAAATGACATTTGTCAAAGAACCCAATTCTGTGAACACACGCCATTCAGGAGCTCCTTTTCCAGGCAAAACCTGTCACCATGTGGAACAGAGCGGCATTGCAGCTGCCTGTCCAAAAATCCCGCTTCCACTAGGACAAAGGGATGTTCTGAGCCAAAACACAAAGTCAAAATACAGCAAAGAGCTCTTCAAAACCATGATCAGCAGGGAGCCATTCCCAGTCTGCTTTCTCAGCTTCCACCATCAAAGGGATATCGAGAATTCGCCGTTTATTTCAGTTGAAAAATCAAGTCCCAGCCTCAGAGTCCCCGTGCCCTAGATAATTGCTCTTGGTAAAAGAACCATAGATTATCAGAAGGGAAGTTACAGATTACCCGGTTCTTTTTTTTTTTTTTACAAACAGAAGTAGAGGAGAAGCAACAGGTTCGCGGAGATATTTACCACTTCTTGTGCTGTGTTCACTCTCTCTGTAAGTAACAGACAAAGGAGGTAACATCTCCAGAGTCTCCAGTAGCAGGGTGGTAAGTTTCCTCTGCAGGGAGGCTCTACCACTGCTGGGATCACCTCCAATCCCCCTTTCAGATCATCTGGGAGTGGCACCATAGACAGGCCAGAGCTGTGTCTGCGGAGATGAGGGATGGGCCAGCTCAGTGGCCATGCAGGACAGAACCCAAGTCCCAGGTGAACAAGCAAAGGAAAAGGTTCTGGAAGAAAGCTGCAGGCAATGTGGGAGAGTCTTGCAGGGTCAGGTGCCCTCAAAGGCTTCTGCACATGCCTCCTGCCCATCTGGCGTGGTGGTCCACTTTTGGGGTGGCTGGCACTCTTTCTACAGTACAAAGAATCAGGTGGTGGCTGGCCCAAGACAGCCCTGGGGGGTGAGGATGAGATGAAAGAGACACAGTCCCACTCCTGGTTTCTCAGAGCACCCTCCATTTCCTCTCCTACAGCGCATGCCTGGGAGGATTGTGCTTACCTGTTGTTTCCGCACTGGCCCTTGTAGATAATGAACCTCTTAAGGGAAGAAACTGTATCTCTTCCATCTCTGCATCCTCAGAGCCTAACACGGACCCTGATAAATAGCAGGCACCAAATAAATGTTAAGTAAAAGAGGGGAAGAAAAAGAGGAAGGGAGGCCAAGACTAGAGTTATGACTGCTGCAGGAACGTTGCTGATGAGTGCAGCAGACCCTCAGGTGATTAATTTTAAAAAGGGTTTGCCCACGGACACATGCCAACAGTTCCCCCCACCACAAGCTGCTTTCCCTGCCAATCAGCAAGGCAAAACCTCAGGACACTTTCTCTCCCCTGACATACATCCCTGGTAGGCTGGGCTTTTGTGGTGATTTTGTTCTAATTTTTAACATTACTTTCTAAAAATTTCAAATCTACCAAAAATAAAAAAAGAATATAAATTACTGACACACCTGTAATCTCAGCACTTTGTGAGGCTGAGGTGATAGGACAGCTTGAGGCCAGAAGTTTGAGACCAGCCTAGGCAACATGGCAAAACTATCGCTACAAAAAAGTACAAAAAGTCGCCAGGCATGATGGCACGCACTACTCGGGAGGCTGAGGTGAGAGGACCGCTTGAGCCCGGGAGGTCAAGGCTGCAGTGAGCTGAGATCATGCCAGTGCACTCCAGCACAGACAATAGAGAGATCCTGCCTTAAAAACAAAACAAAAAATCCAAGACCATCAGCATGTCGTTCATTGAAATCCACTCTTTTACTAGGATCAAGTTTATCCTGCCTGTATTTCTTCTTTGCAAAAATTAACGGATGTACACACACACACACACACACACACACACAATTTAGTTTCCCCATGTTTCTTACACAAAAGGTAATAAAACATATGTAACTTTTACATTTGCTTCTTTCTGTTAATGATCTGTCTTGAAGATGACTCGGTGTTGGTTCGGAGAAATCTTCCTCATTCCTGCGATGGTGTCAACAGACTTCTGTTATATGGATAAGCCACAGTTGATTCAACCAGTCTCCTATGGATTGGCTTTTAGTTCATTTCCAACAGTTTGTCATTACAGATAATACCAGCAATAAATAACTCTATGCATAGTATATTGTTTTAAATGTGTAATGAGTGAAGATACATTTTCAGAGAGAATTTCTAGAAATGGGGTTGCTGGTCAAAGTGTAAATGCATGTAGAACCTGTTTTTTTAATAAATATATACAAGAGATAAGACTTACTTTGTATTTGATTTGATAATTTGACTTGGAATTTTTCTGTGGGAATAAAAGTGTTAGAATGATATTTTTAAATTTCACAAAATGTGTAGACAGTAACCAAGGTCTCAGAGCCATGGAGGGCTCTAAAACTAGTTCCATAAGGCATTTACTGTAAAAATACCTACAGATCTTTAACAGAAAAGTATATTTCTTTACAGTAGAAAAATATTTGAACAACTTTTCTTAAAAGACAAGAATTCAAATGTAACATACGACCAGCTAAAACGGAATCTAGCTGTTTATAAGAACTGATTCCAAAATATACATATATGAAAATTTACGTAACTGATATGTAGAAGCTCTTCAAAACTGACGGTAAATTTAAAAGTTAAAATTGGCCTTGCCTCTACAGTTTGGAGCTGCAGATCAGCCGGCAATGGCTGCCGGTCTCGGCTGCTTTCTTGGTGCCTGAGCTGCAGAGTGGGCCTGTGTAGGGGCTGTTGTCCGGGTCACTCTCCCTCTGGCTGTTTGTGGCCTAGGTGCATGAGGCACTCAGTCTTGGCCTGGAAAGAATCCCACGCACTGGAAGAGCTAAAGGTGTGCAGTGTTGTGTCTGCTTGGAGACAGTGGAGCAGATCCGGGGCAGTCCTCGCCAGGCTGGCTTTAAAGCCCTTTTTTGGTTTAGGATTCGGCTTCATCGTGGTCACTTCCATTATCATCGTCATTCTCCTCATCTCCTTCCCTCTTTTCTTCTTTAAGCATTTTCAGGTATTTACCAGCTAAAATCTTCTTTGGTAATATATCTGTAAGAAACTGAAAAGTTTCTGATTCCTCCGCAGTGTTTGCTAAGTCACCGTAAGTCAGGACTTTCTTTTCCTTTCCACTGCCATGTCTGTAGGAATATTGAACTAGTGTAGCTAGATATTGAACAAGGAGCTCCGTGGCCTTGGCCGTGAGCACCAGCACCTCCTGGTTGATGCTGGACACCTCGGGGCAGCTCTTCATGATGACCCGGATGCGGGACAAGGGCAGCAAGACGAGCCGCTGCTCCCCGCACTTGTCTTTGCCCACGACCACGTCCGCCATCTTCCCGCTCCGTGTGCCCGCAGTAGCCGGCGGGCCCGGCCGCGAAGTGGCTGTCCTGCCCCGCCAGCCGGCGGGTGCGAGGAATCTGTTTTTTGTTTTCCAATTTCCCATCCTAAGACCTGTCCTATTTCACAGGCTCATCAGCCCTGTAGGACCGCGCCGATTTCCCCACAGCCTTGCCAAAGGTGAGCTGCGAAGCTTTTGTGTGTTTGCCAAATCCGTAAGTGAGAAATGATATCCCCACTCAGTTTTAATTTACATTCTTCTTTTTACAGTGAAGTTGTGTATCTTGTATAAGTCTAGAGGTCACCTTTATATGATTTTTGTGATCGAACTCTATTCATTATTTTGCTCCTTTTTCTATCTGGTTTCTTATCTTTTATTTATTTTTTCTTTTTCGTGTGTGTGTGAGAGAGAGAGAGGAGAGAAAGAGAGAGAAAGAGAAAGAGGAGAGAGAGAGAGAGAGAGAGAGAGAGAGAGAGAGAGAGAGAGAGAGAGAGAGAGAGAGAGAGAGAGAGAGACAGGTTCCTACTCTGTTGCCCAGGCTGGAGTGCAATGGTGCAACTGTTCCTCACTGCAGCCTGGAACTCCTGGACTCAAGCAACTCTCCCATCTCAGCCTCTCTGGCAGCTGAGACTACAGGCATGTGCCACCACACCCTGCTAATTTTAGCATTTTTTTGTTGAGGTGGTGTCTTGCTATGTTGCCGGAGCTGGTCTACTAGCCTCAAATGATCCTCCCGCCTCAACCTCCCAATGGGTTGGGATTACAGGCATGAGCCATCGTCCCTGTCCAAATGATCTATTTTGAGCTAATTTCTGTAGACGGTGTAAGTAAGGGGTCCAGCTTTATTCTTTTGCATATGGATACCCAATTGCCCTACCCCCACTTGTTTAAAACACTGAATTATCTTAGCATCCTTGTCAAAACTCAATTGACTATAAATGTATGGATTTATTTCTGAGTCCTCAGCTATTTTCCACTAGTCTATGTCTATCTTTGTGCAAGTACTACACTATGAATTACTGTCATTTTATTTAAGTTTAGAAATTTGGATGCAAGTCTTCCAACTATGTTCGTCTTTTTCAAAATTATTTTGGCTGGTCTGGGTTCCTTGCATAACCATATAAACACGAGGATCACCTCATCAATTTCTGCAAAGAAGCCAACGTGTTTTGAGAGGTATGGGTTGAATCTGTAGATCAATTTAGATAGATCAATTGCTGTCTTAGCAATATTAAGTTTTCCAATCCACATACACAGGGTATCTTTTTATTTAATTGCTTTCAAGAACACTTTCTGATTTTCAATATACAAGGTTTAGAATTATTTTGTAAATTTATTTCTAAGTATTTTATTCTTTTCAATGCAGTTGTAAATGAAACAGTTGTCTTAATTTCATCTTCAGACTCTTCACTGTTGGTGTATATAAATACAACTGCTTTTTATATGCTCATATTATTAGTTTTCTATTGCTGCTGTACAAATTATCACTAACTTGGGGCTTTAAATAATGCAAATTTATTATCTGACAGTTCTATAGGTCAAAGGTCCAAGATGGTCTCACTGCAGGCAGAAGGGCTACATTTCTTTCTAGAGGCTATCAGGGAGAAACGTTTTATCTTTTTCAGTCTCTGGACACTTGGCTTGTGGTCACTTCCTCCCTGCACATCAGGTCACACCTTGCCATGTCCCATCCCTCTGACTTCCTCCACTGCCTCCATCCTCCACTTGGAAGGATCCTAGTCTCCACATTCAACCTCCTGATAATCCAAGGAAATCTCCCTATTTAAAATCACCTGATTAGCAACCTTAATTCCAATCTGCACCTTTAAATTCCCTTTGACATGTAATCTGACATATTCACTGAGGAAATCTGTGGGGATTGCTCCCGTGTGAGGCCCCTAGGAAATGGGCTTCGCAATACGGTGAGCTTGAGCCGGGACACAGATCCTGGTTGGGGGAGTTGAGCTGAGGGAAAGCGGGAACCGAGAGAGGAACTATATGTTATTCAAAATAATTAACAGACATTACTTTAAGGATATGAGGACTTGCAAGGCATTGTGACCACTTTCGGCTCCTTATGGTTTATTGCTTGATTGTGTTCATTTTGGACCCTTGTTACCTTCATTGTAAAATATTAAGTATTTACACTTGGTAACTTACTTACCGTAACTTACAGGGCGTAACTGTAACTTACCATAGCTCACAGGGCGTGACTGTAACTTACTTAACTTGACCTATTGGGCGTAACCTACTTACTGGAAGTAACCTACTTACTGGACTTAACTTACTGGGCGTAACTTGCTTACTGTAACTTAAGTACGTTGATCTGGCGTAAACAACTTTGACTTCAGAAAAGTATATAATGAAACATATTGCAAAAATAAAATTGCTGCTTGGACATAGCCTAAGCCAGCCCTCCAGACTCCACTTTTCTATTTCTTTCACTTCCGCACACTCTCTCCCTTAGGTTGAATGAGACATCCACGTTGGCAGTCTCGGGGACTCCTGCAGGTCAGTAGTCCCCCGGCAGACATGCCGGACCCCAACAATTCACAGATTCTGAGATTAAGTCAGGAACATCTCTGGGATTGGGGGAGCATCGTTCTGGCTATGCATCGACCTTGCATTCTGAAATACTGATGAACACATTTATTAGTGCTAATATTTTTTGTGTGTTCTTAGAAATTTTTGTACGAGATCATGTAACCTATATAATTTTACTTCTTTCTTTTCAGTCTGGTTAGATTGTATTTCTTCTTCTTGCCTAATAGCTTTGACGGGAACATTCGTTACAATATTCAAAAGAGGTGATGAGAGAAGACATCCATCCTTGTCTTATTCCTGATCACAGGAGAAAAGCATTCTGACTCACCTTGAAGTATGATGTGAGGTGTGGTTTTTATATAGATGGCCTTTATTTGCTTGTGAAAGTTCCCTTCTTTTCCTAGTTTTTGAATGTTTTCATCCAGAAAATTTGTTGAATTTTGTGAAATAATTTTTCTATGTCTATTGAGATGATCACATGGGATTTGTTCTTTATTCAGTATTGATTGATAGTTTTCTGTGATATTTTTGTCTAGTTTCAGTTTTTGGATAATATTGGCCTCATAAAATGAGTTGAAAAGACGTCTCTCCTCTTTTATTTCTTGGAAGACTTTGTGAATGATTGGTGTCAATTTTTTTTTAAATGTTACGTAAAATTCTTCAGTAATGCCCTGTGGACCTCGATTTTTCTTTGCAAAAAGTTTTTAAATTACTAATTCAGTCAGTTTACATGTTATATGTGTGTTTGATTTTTTATTCCTTTTTGAGTTAGTGTTGCTCATTTTTGTATTTCTAGAAGTTTTTTCATTTACATCTGGATTATCTAATTTGTTGACAACAATTGTTGAAACTATTTGCTTGTAATTTTTTTTATTTCTGCAAGGTTGATAGTGATGTTTCTTTTTATGAACTTTTTTTTATTTCTTAGAAATTCTACTATTTTGAGTTGCAGTTCCCACTTTGTCCTCAAGATGCTTATATATAAAGTTGTTTATTTGTTTTTTTAATTGGTGGGAAGAAGGCTCTTCTTCACTTTTGATTTTGTAATTTAATTTTATGGCATTGTGATTACAGTATGTTATTTACACTAATTCTACTTTGTGAAACTTATTGAGGTTTCTTTGTGATTTAATATATAGCCAATCCTTGTGACTGTTCTACGTACGCTTGAGAAGAATGTGTATCTCTATTAGAGTGCTGTCAAGTTTGATGTAGAGCCATCAGATGCACCTTATTAAGTTCTCTCATATCCCAGCTAACATCGTGTTGACATGGCCTGTCTTGGACTAAATGTTAAAGTCTCATGCCAATAGCATGCTTCTATTTCTACCTCTGTCTCTTGTTTCTGCTTTAAGAGGTTAGTTTCTGCTTTAAGAGGTTAGTTATTTGGGTAGGTACTCATGCCTGGCATATCTTCATTGTAAATTGTAGCCTTTAACATTTTAAAGTAGACAATTTTTATTTGTCTGTTATCATGTTGCTGTTCTGCAAGTTTTTTGAAACTAAATTCTACCTTGTGTTATGTCAGAATCTCTTGTTTCTGTTCTCTGGAAATACATTTACTCATCTCTATTTTCAGCCTTTCTGAATCACATTGTTTCAGGTATGCTTCTTTTATATGGCACCAAATTGATTTTTGTGTTGTGAGCCAGTACAATTTTTTTTTTTTTTTTTTTTTTGACACAAGGTCTATTTCTGTCACCCAGGCTGGAGTGCAGTGGCCCAGTCTTGGCTCACTGCAGCCTTGACCTCCCCAGCTCAAGGGATCCTCCTGCCTAAGCTTCCAAAGTAGCTGGGACTACACGTGCACACCGCCGCACCCAGCTAATGTCTTTTATTTTTAGCAGAGACAAAGTCTCCCTGTGTTGCCCAGGCTGGTTTCCAACTCGTAAACTCAAGCAAGCCTTCTGCCTCAGCCTCCCAGAGCGCTGGGATTTCAGGTATGAGCCACTGCACCTGGCCTGGAAATTCTTTTCTTTTAGTGGGGAAACACAAATTCATTGTATTTATTAATATAGTCAACATGTTTCATCTCAACTTTGCCATCTTTTTAGTCATTTATTCATTGGTGTATTTTGTTCTATTTACTCTTTTTTTTTTTAAATGTGTTTCCTTTTTATGTCTTTTTAGTGTTATGTGTTTAAGGTTTTTATGTGTTTCGTTTTTCTTTTTTAATGTTTTAAATTGCTAGGGAAGAGTGGAGTTTTGAAGGTTTGTGTTTTTGTTCTACTAGGTTCCCCTGTACTAATATCATTCTAAAAATTTATTTCTCTTTTTCCTTATTTGTTTTTCTACTATTTGGTTTGTCAGCTTCAAAAGATGTTATTTCACATCTACCTGTTAGCATCTAGAAATCAATGAACTTATTTCACTTTCTTCTTTCTCTTCACATTTTAGATTATTACTTTATTAGAATTCATAATTTTTATTTAGCATTTTTCTACTCTTACAGTATTTATTAATTTCAATATTGCTCCTCTGTTGTCTTTCTTCATATCTGAAGTTGAGAACGCTGATGCCAGCACAATTTTCTTTTCTTTGTAAACGGCTTGGAGTATTGTATTGAACACTTAATGGATTTTTTTCCTTT